TGGTCACAAAGATGCACTCCAACCTGCACTGTGTACTTCTGATTTATACATCAGCATTTGTTTTCATATTCAGAAATTTCCAATACTTTATAATAGCTTTTTTCTAAACACAGAGATATATAGATATTAGATATGCAGTCACATACACATACCGTAGCTTATAGAAAATAGGTTGACATCAGATTGGAAAAAAAAAAGTTACTTGAAAGCAACTTTACAAAGCAAGCAAAAATAATTTTTAAGAGCTTCATAATCCAGTATGTTTATCAAAATCTATTCTTGTCTATGCATAGATCAGACCCAACGCCTTCCAATAGCAATTGCGGTGGTGCAGAATTTTGCAACTTTCCTGGAGATTTCACTAGACTGATCCCTTAATAAAATACTTACAATCCCTGATTGCGGCCAGCCCAAGCATCTGCTAATAAGGGGAGAAATTAGCTCTGCTTGCAAGGTAAGGTATAAAGGGCAACTCAAGAGAACATACACAGCTGTCTCAACCTCTACTTCCAAGCACACTGATAAGCAAGGGATGTTATTATTCATAATCTTTCAAGGACTATCAGATCTTTCCACTGTGAATGCCCTTCCATGAGGAACAGATACAATATTATAAGGGATGTTGCCATGTTTTCTATAGTGATAAAAAGTTCAAATCTAAATCAAGCACTCTCTGCTTAACTTCAGCAAAGATCATGCACACAAAAAAATGAATCATTTGCACATATATATATATATATTTAGGCCTTGCTTAAGATGTCCCATGTCTTCATGTACTAGGCAGATAGATATGGGTTTTTTCCTGTGATGGTATCCAAGTAATGAAATGCACTTCTCATGGATCAGGGATCAGTACAGAGTGCTTTTAGGTACTGGATATCCCATATACCTTCAAATTCAGTTCCTCTGAAATGAGTACAGCATTCTCAAGTGACATTTAACAACATTTCAGTAAGAAATTGCCATCTTTACATGAGAATTGGGGGGGGGGGTTATTATTTAAAATTTTAGGGGTACGGATCCAGAACCTGGAAAAAAAAAAGATGATTTCAAGCCAAGATATTCCCTTGGCATTGCCTTTTGATCTTTTTTTGGCACAAAATAATCCTCTTGCACTTATGTACCTGAAGTGTTGCTAGTAGAATCTCTTCCACCATTGTTTTCCTGAAAGAAAGAAAAAATCATCCTGTTTGATTCTGCTGGATTTCGGTCCACTAATTGTTCTGGAATTGAAGCCATAAAAAGCAAATAGCAAGGCACTATCTTTATTAAAGAATATCTCGGTCTTGAATATGGGGGAATCTGAGCCGCTTGGAAATCCTTGCAGGAGATATTTAGCCTCTGCCCTCCATAAACAAAATAGCAGTGTGAACAACCAAAGGCTCGTTTTTCTAAGCAGGATTGAAAAGTCAGGCTAGCTGAAGCAAAGCTCCTGACCTTTGCTGCCTCTATTAATCCCCAACAACGACCTCCCCCACCTTCTGTGTTAGTGGTGGAAACATCGGGTAATTCCGATGTTCTAACCCTCAAGATAAGCATCTAAGCTAAGAGCTTTCAACCCCCTGCACTAGCTTTGCAAAGACTGCTCTTCATTAGGAAGTGTCCTCACCAAAAGGACAAGAATGTAATTAGCAAACCCCATGACGAGAACTGGGGAGTTTGGTTGGCAGGTTTTTCCTCTAATTACACCCCCTTCTACACCCTCCTAGCATACACTTCAGCAGTTTTCTATGTTCAGCCCTTGTACTTGGGAAATCATTGACCCTGGTTTGTCCTCCTCTTTGCCTTCTAAGGACTTATTATATTGAGCATTGGTTGCAGTCAATAAATAGGAGATGTCTATTTCCATTTTTATCTTATAATCTTCGCAAGATTAGTTTATTATAAAGAATGTGATAGCAACAATATATTGCCATGTTTAAAAATTTGCCTTGAGGACCTTTTTCCATTAATACTTGTGTTATTGTCAGAAATTTCTTTGTTTAAGTGGACTTCCTTTGATCGATTGCTCCTCAATACATTCCTACTTTAATGAGTTTCTAAACTTTAGGTTGCTTCCCGTTTGCCCACCTGCCAGCAGTACAGCATCCAGGAATTCACAGGACAGATTCTTTTATTCACTGCAAGACTCATAGGAAGACATGCCTAGGAAGGAGAGGATCCTTTAAAATAAGTTTGGGGTTTTATAGAGCTATAAGTGAGAAAGAAACACCTCATTGTACAAGCAGGAGGATAATAAAATAGCATTTGAAACCATCTGAAAATAGCTCCTGAAACGTTGTGTCTTATTCTACAGCCTATATTTGTTAAAGATATTTATACCCTGCTTTTTTTTACCTTTAAAAGAGACTTCCAAAACACCAAAGTAGTAAAATTAGCTAAGTAAAATAAACAATTTTCCAATTTTCCAAAACTAAATATAATTAAACCTGAGATTAAGACAGACAGAGGTAGAGATATAGACAGAAGGAAGAAACAAGTTAGATTATAATAAAAGCCAAAGTAAAAAAAAATCTTACAGCTGCCAATTGTTTCTGCACCAAACCTGGAGAAATAGCTTGCTATAACTGTAACAAAACTTAGGAAGTGCCTTTTTAAATACATATGTTTTTCTGAAGTTTTGTTACCAGCCTTTGGAATTGATCACAGTTCATATGCAGCTCTGCCTAAAACTAATGCTGAATTGTTTTCTAAAAGATACCCCCTCATTAAACATGTAAATTTACATGGAAAAATTAGCATTCTTAAACAATCTGGTTAGCAATAGAAACTTTATATCTTTAAGTTATTAACATTGGTAAAGTTCTTGCTCAGAATGCATAGCTTATGAATTAAAATGTTGTCTATAAATGTGCAGAATTCTTCTCTAATTATAAAGCTTATTTAAAAAAGCAAATGTATTTCCCTTCAAATTCAGTATTAAGATATTTGCACTCTATATATATCAGAACTAGTTGTTTTGAAGATAGTATGCCAAACCATGCATTCACTTCTCTATTTTCTTTTCTTTCTTTTTCTTTTTTTTCTTTTTCTTTTGATAAATGAATGCTGTGGAGTTGGTTTAATCACCATATATGGGAAACTTTCTCAGAACAAATGGAGGTGATTACTTTAAATACAACTTGCCTGCGCTCACTTGATAAACAACTTAATTCCTCAGGAACCCTGCTTCTAAGCCTCCTTGTATTCCAATCCCTATTCTCCATATTTGTATATAAATGATATTTGTGTATTATTTTTGACAGCGTTCCAGTATCTGATGTTTTGCATCTTACAAACAAGCTCACTTTTGCAGAAGTGACCCAGCTGAGGACTTGATTATTTCTTGTAGCTGTTTAGATAAAGGAATTCCGTTGGCAGTTAAATGTCTCCGTGTGTCTGAATCAGCTTTCTCTTGGTTCCCAGCAAGATTAGCAGTGATCTGTGCAAAAAAAGCCTGCCTTTACCCCCTTTTGATCACATAGTATTCTTAACAAAAGCTTTCATGTCTCCAGTAAATGTTAGTGCTATTTATCAAACTCATCAAGCATTTATTTATGAGAATTTCAATCTATTCTGGCTTCTCAATTGTTGAAAAGGCTTGAAATGGAGAATTATGGTTTATTGTTATCTTATATTTAAACATAGAGCCTGGAGGGACCGCTTTGAATGTGATGCTTTTAATCTTATATGTCCTTGGGTAAATGCAGCGTTGCTTTGTGGCCCTAGCATATCATTCCTAGGTAGTTTCAGTTGCTATGTATACAATGGTGTACAGCAAATATGTGAACATAAGGTATTTGTGGGAGAATCTGGTGATATTTAATGCTGCCTCTTTCTGAATGGGCTGCACACTGATTGTAGTGTCTTTGAAAAGACCTAGAATATTGTCCAATCCCATGAGTTTGACTCAGTCTGGGAGAAAAGATTGTTTTCATCTGTCATAAATCAAGGCTCCCTCTTTAACCAAGTTTTATTCTGTGTAAATATGTCAGCTATCAGATGACAACAAAAGTAACAACGAAAAATATCTTCCTTAAGGTCTCCTTTAATACAATATTCTAGAACAAGGGCTTCATAATTGTTTTGGGGATGATTTGATTTCATTGCAGGACCTTTTGCCCATTGCTAGATTCAATCATTATGTGGCATATTTTTATTTTATAAGAAGGATACAACTGTTCAGCAATCCTCAATTTTTAAGGCTGGTGGCCATATTTGGAATGCCAAAGGCATGTTGTGTGTTCATTCATAAAATAGCTGACATAAATAATGGGGCTAGTTCATTCCAACAGTGGCTGTCATGGTGGCTTTGTCACCAATAAAGAATTCATTGACTAGAAGACAAACTGGGTAACACTAAAAAAACAACAACAAAAAAAACCAGTAAGTTGCCCAAGAATAAAAGTAGAAAGTAAAGCTGGAATCTGAGCTTTTCTTATGTTCATATCCACAAAACTAACAAAAGAATAGTTTCATAGAGGAAAAACAACTAATATGTGTTTGTATAGGCAACAAATATACAAATATATAAACAAAAAATAACAAAAAAAAAACCTTGTGTGTCCAATCACATTTGGCCAATAAAGAATTCTATTCTATACAGGCAACAAATATTGCATATGCATACATATAATTTTTTCTCACAAAAGATTGCTAACTGTTTTGCTATCCGGTGCGACAATTTTTATTTATTTTTTAATTGATTTTTTTTAAAAAAAAACATCAGGTGGAACAGGCAGCTGATAAAAGCATATATGGTGTCTTTGCTGTACTAGCCATGAATTAAAATTTCCCTAAAAAGCATAACAGTAATCATGACATACATTGTAAAAAGACTGTTGTGCTATGAAAAGGTGAATGGTAATAGCAATCTGGTTTTCTTGGTTTTCAAAACTGGTCCAGTGCAATTTTTCAATGAAATTTTGCTTTCACAATGTAAAAAAAGTATCATCTCTGTATGAGACAAGCAGAAAAAATAATGTTAAATAAATAGTTGCTGTCTTTGTTTTCTTTGATAGCTTTTTGGAGACTGCGGCATATTTCTGTATGAAACCAAAAATGGGTGAAAAGGAGGTTTCCTTGAATGCTTTCTTCAGTATATGGCATGAATTCAGTTCTGATTTTAAAGAATTTTGGAAAAAAGAAAATAAACTTATTTTGCAAGAAAGGTAAGTAACATCTAATCCACTTTAAATTGTTAGAATATTTTGGGAATTTAAGGCTGGATATTCTGACTGAAGGGAGGAGATTTCTTTCTTTTTTTCATGATTATCTTATACACGTAGTCCTCGACTTACAACCACAACAGAGCCCAAAATGTCTGTTACTAAGCAAGACAGTTGTTAAGTGAAATTTGCCCCATTTTACAATCTTTCTTGCTACAATTGTTAAGTGAATCACTGCAATTGTTAAGTTAGTAATACATTTCTTTAGTGAATCTGGCTTCCCCATTGACTTTGCTTGTCGGAAGATCGCAACAGTTGATCACATAACCCCGGGACACTGCAGCCGTCATAAATATGAGTCAGTTGTCCCAGGTCTGAATTTTGATCATGTGACCATGGAGATACTGCAATGGTTGTAAGTGTGAAAAACGGTCATAAGCCACTTTTTTCAGTGCCATTTTAACTTGGAATGGTCACTAAATGAACTGTACAGGATTACTTGTATTGTGACTGTTTACAGATAGACAAACTGGGTTTGTAACTCAAGAAAGCAATATATAAATATGAAAATAAAAATAAATAATAATGGCTAGTAGGCTTACTGCCCTTCTGTCACTATGATTCTGTCACTATGAAAACAGTAAATGTACCCAAGCATTTTAAATTCTAGCAAATTTACTACAGTCTAATGATTTTTATATTAAAGTCTCCTTCATCAAAGATTATAGTGGAATTTATATGCTCTCTGTTACGCTGCTATAGAACATGTTGTACTTCTTCTTACAACAGCATAATATTGCTAAATATCTTGGCAAGATTTTACCCTGAGATACTGCTGTTTATACCTGGAACATATCAGGGTAAATTTGTCTATTTTTAAATTTCTCTTTGCTATGTCTTTCCCAAGATTTTCTACGTTTATCACACTGTGCCATATATCTTAAAACTATTATATTTATTTTAAACTTATAATTAGTAAAAGTTGAGGAGGAGGGGGGAGGGGGAGGAGAAGGCTGGAAACCATACCAGAACTCCAGGGGTACACATGGTCTCCACCTTCTCCTCTTAAGAGTATTTGCTATGCAGTCTACTTTGTACTGCAGACCAACAGATATAGAATGGACAAGTCTGTGTCTTGAATAAAGTTACATTACTGAAGTCTGTGCATTTTGCATTAATTTATCTGTTAGTGGCTGATTTACTGAAGTGATTAATTCCCTTTTGATAATTGAAATTAACAACTCACTGAAGAGTTGCTCAAGTATACAGACAAAAAAAAAGCAACTCAAGAATTGTGCTAAGACAGAAAAGTCAACCATGCTATTCCTCAGTGATTCAAAATATTCTTTAAATGGCCAGGAATATTTTTAAGTTGAAAAGTCCTGGTTCATTACATTTAAAAATGAATACTTGGATGAAGCTTTCCAGTTTAATCTTTTTATATATATAAAGACTAAGCTTTTTGTAGAAAGAAAAGGTGGAATAAGTCCTCCTACATGTCTATTACTAAATGTTTTCTTAATTCACTATTAAAGGGAGCAGGCTCCTTTTTCTATTTTTGAACAGTGGGAATAGATCAGGCAAAGAATACAAAGCATCAGTTATGCTGCCTGAATGTATCAGCACCAACCATTCACGGACAGCACTCTAGGTGATTTGCAGCCGTTGCTCGGTTCATTTCCTCAACAGCATAAAACATAAGTAAGCTTATGATAATTATTTTGTTTTTATATTAAGAATCTCTGGATGCATTGGCCCTGACTTAGCAAAAGACATGCTCTCAGATTTACAGAATTCCAAGTGCAAAATATATTTCAAATTAGCAAAACTCAAATAAAGCTTTCAGTTGCTGTGCATTCCACATTCAATTCCAATTGCTTCCACCACAACTTTTATCATTTAAGCAGAACAGTTTGGGGGAGGGAGATCAGTCATTATTATTAAAATAATTAGGAACTGTAAACCTTTGCTAATCTATTGCAAATCACTCAGATCTCCCAGTCTATCATAACTTATCTTCTGCTTCCCCCCCCCCCAACACAAGTAATTCAAATCAATAGATGTAAAAGAGATTCATGTTCATGTTACATTCAGTCATATTATTTCGGCCTAAGGTGTTTGTGTATTATTTTCATTGACAGTGCTATTTTGAACTCAGAAGAATATAGAATCCTCAGTACAATAACATTCATTTTAACATTTTTTTAATCTTCAGTTTTTCTACCATATTCCATCTTATGGTTTATAAAAGCTTCCTATGGCTTATAAAACTACAACAATGAAATTTTACTGATACCAAAGATGAAGATATAAAGGAACAATGTGGCCCATATCAATTGGAAATCAGTAAAAATTTATTTGGCCACAAAAAAAAATGGTTAACAAAAAGTTCTGAGAGCATCTGTCAAAGATGATTAAAACAGATCTGAGCCTGATACCTTTCAGATAATTTTCAATTCCTACAGTCCATGAATAGAAATGTTTTGTGGGCACCAAGTTACCTGAGGCAGATGGATCTTTTGTATCTATTTGACTTGATTTTCTAACCTATCATTAGGTTCATATTTCTTCTATGGTGAACTTCTAAGAAGAGTTCCAGTTATTCTAGTACAGAAGGAATAGGGAAAAGCCTTGAAGGATAGGAGGAAATTTGGGGCTTGAGCTCATTCCAAGAAACTAATTTGATTAAATGTGTCATTCAGGCCCTTCCCCAGTTCAGATGAAGATAAATTGAGGGAGGGGAGGAAGCACATTCAGGCTTGCAAGATTCTATAACTGTAGCTGTTACAATAAAAGTAGTCCTCACTGCTAAGCTACTGGTTTCTTTAGTCTGCTCCACCTTATAGGCTCACATCTACTACTGTATGTCCAAATATATACAGTATATATATATGAACTGGTTCCAATTCTTTTAGTAGTATGTATTATATTTCATCCCAGAAATGGAAGCAAAGAATTAATGGCAGGAGCTTTTACTAAAGCCAAACCTTGAAGCTTTATTTCATGCTATCAATATGATGATGTATTTTGATAATTTAGGAGAATCCCAAGCTAGTTTTTAGCAAAACATGGACATTTTCTCATTGACATCATAACCAAATGTTGCACCTGCTGTCTGCATTTTAACTTTGCTCTGGAACCTTTGACCTTTTTCTCTTTTCCAGAATTTTATTTTAAATGCAGAGGTCTTTTTTTAAAAAAATGCAATTCACAGTGGTATGCGCTGAATCTTTGAGTAACCAGATATTGCTTGCATGAACAATGGCTTACATTCCAGTCATTCATAATACATGAGGGTATCCAAAGGTTTACTTAGCTCAACATTGACAGCAATGGAGTGTGACTGCACTCTGTTCTTTTAGTAGTCATCATTCTTCTTCACTTTTGGCTAAGAGAGATGGCAGGAATCTTAATTGCTCATTCCAAGGTTTCCTAACCTCTTTATCCTCTACCATTTCTCTTGTGTTTTAGGCAGGGTGTGAATTGAAAGGGAAAGATTTTATTCCTGAAATGAACAGCATATCTTATGTCTCTGGAAGAGGGGCACTGGCAAAGAAGCAATGGCATTTCTGATCCCATTTGTCTTTGTAGTGGAAGAAGCATATGTGCTTGCATTTTCTCAGTGCTATTAAATGTTATCTCTGCTACAGAGAGTTAGAAGAGTTATAAAACTGAAGTGAAGATTCTAACTAAAATGCTGGGAACACAAGACATTTTGTGGATAGAATGTGGCATTAATACATATCATTCCTTAGGCACCCAAATAACACATTTTAGAGAATTTCCTGTAAAGGTTCCTATTTTATTTTATTTTTATTTATTTATTTATTTTGGTCATAACAGCAATCTACAATTGTCTTCTGACTGAGACTCCTGTATTTATTTTTATACCTTATGCCACATACATACCGTATTATTGATTTTTTTTTTATTTCAGTGTAGGAGAGCCTAACAAAAATATATTAACAATACAGAAGATGCACTCTTTAAACATTAACTAGAATAATTTTAAATACTTTCACAAAGTATTTTGCAGATCTTTCAAGGAAGCAGTAAGTACCAATGGCAACCATTGGGAGACAGATTGTCTCACCAGAATATTCAGACTTGTCTTGCTGAAAAATTACTGAAGGAAGATACTAAAAGAAAGCTATCCATGACTTAATGTTAATATATAATGAATGTTTAGTTAATGAAAGGGAAGTAGCAGAAACATTGTACTGGAAAGAACTGACTGTAATAATAAAGTGTCTGAGTTTAAGAAAAAGTAAAATTTAACAAATACCTAGTTTGTACTTGAAGTGGATTTTAATAAATACAGAATAATGCTAAGTAGGATTCCATGACAAGGAAAAACTAATAGGAAAAAAGAGCTGTAAGGAGTAGAAATTCCTAAGAAAGGAGGAATTAAACTGAATAATTCCTGTGGAGGAGAAAAACAGAAAAGTATCAAAAGAAGTGTGGTTGACCAAAGAGTTCAGTGATGATCTGAAATTTCAAAAGAATAAGGATGTCTCCAAGGAAGATTAAACAAAAGTTGGAATTGTAAATGATAAAGTTCAAAATGACCTAGACTGGTGAAGGATGCTCGGAATACTACAAGGGCTTCTTCAGATATGTTCAGGAAAAATAAAAAGAAAAGAATCTGTTTAGTGAAAATGTCGATATGCTAAGTTAGCAAATAACCACAGAAAAGGATAAATTGCCCTATTCCTTTTTTCACTCAGTCTTCTCTAAAAAAAAAAAAGGCATGTATCCTAATAGAAAATTTGAAAGGAAAAAGTTGAGCAACCAGATTGTCAAGAAATTTTTATTTTCAATGAGTTCAAGTCTTCAGAGTTAGATGAATTCTATCCTAAGCACTGAAAAAATCAGTAGAAACATAGTTTCCAAATTATAGGAAGCAGTGATTCTACTCTATTCTATACTGGTCAAGCTCCATTTCAAATATGATGTCCCCTTCTGAGCACCAGGGCTGAAAAAAGAATGAGATCAAGGGAAGG